AATCAAATAAGAATGAGAAGGTTTACCCCAAATTCAAAGAGTTCTACGAGGGCAGTGATTTTCGTCCTTGAAAGAGGTTCCTTCAGTTACCCAAGCCATTCAAGGACTGATTAAATATAGTACAGTACAAAGTCCGAGATCTGGACTTGTCAGGACTTCAGCGATCCAGGATTTGGGATTTTTTGGATATTAGATCAGTTTAAATCTAGTAAGATGGCATGCAGAAACCATAAAAATAAAAATATGAAATCGTAATTTATGAAATAATGAAGCAATTATGATCTAAAGAGTATCTAAATTTGCAAAAACAAAAGCTTAATATTTATTTGTTTACCTTATTAAATTTGAAATAATGATAACGAATACTACATAAAAATTTTAGTTGCTATACATTATTGGCTATGTATCATGAGATTGGCGATGAATGACAAGTTATTCCACTAAATTCTGTCTTGCTTCTATCGTGTACTGAGACAAATAAGCTTGAATTGTATTAGTTTAGTTATTTATTATACTTAAATCTATTTATTGCATATGCTTAAAACTTATCTGAGTCCTGATTAAAATCCCACATGTAATTAAAAAGTTTATTGAGGGCCAGTGCATCTTACTGCCTAACTGTCTCTGGAAAATATAAATTTTGCTCCATAAGTTCTAAATTTTTGCCGCTAAATACCGGGTTCCTGTGCTTTCCCTAAACTCTAAAATTTTTGTCATCCCTTAATTTTGTTGTTCAGTGCTTCTCTAAATTCCAAAAATTTTATCTTCTGTAAATTCTGCCACCCGGTGCATTTATACAAGCTCTGGTCCCAGGTCTGGGTTTATGTGAATAACAAATCAGTTATTCTTAATTCAAATAGCACTAAATGTAATCTTTCGCCCTATAAGTATCATTAACAAAATCTACTTTTAGCATATGGAAAAAAATTTTTGTTAAAATTTTCTGTAATCCTCTTCAAGTAATGTCAACATAAAAGGTTACCATATTACTAACATAAAAAATTTGTTTAGGCATCACTGCATGAGTCATTACTCTAGTTCTCGTGTGTTGATAAACATGCTGTGATGAAAGCAAAATATACTAAATAATGATTCGCAAGTCGCATTTCACACAGCAAATGGCAGCAAGCAGCTCGCCAGCCGCAGTTAGGGTTTCGAAGAGCGACAAGCAGCTCGCAAGCCACAGTTTGGCCATGCCTGGTGTAGACTTTTTACACTGTACAATGTGAAATGCCCTAATGAAGTCAAATCTTGCCATGAACTGTACTGTAAACAAAATATTGCCATGGTTCAAAATCTTATTATCCAGGATGCAGTCTGATTCATTTCCGTGACCTCAAAAAGCAAATGTTAAACCTTGTAAAATATTTATAATAGTGGTTCTCAACCTTTTCTGTCCTGTGCATCCCTTTCAACATTGCTAGATTATTCCCCTACCCACTTTCTTCCAGAGACTTGAAAAATACATGTGCATTTATTTAGATTTATTTTTAATGTGTTTTATAAATTAAAAAACAGAAAATATAAAAAAAATGTTCATAAGTTTTACAACTTGAATAAATGTAGTTTTTATACTCAAACTAAATACTTAGCAGCTAAATAAAAGGCTAACCTCATCCACCCCCGAAACTGAAATTATTCTCTGGTTAAGAACCTTGGCCTATAATCTGCATGTCAGTATTTCCATGCTTCGGCATTACTTTTTAACTCATAAAGATGCAAACTTTTCTCTGAGATGGCATCACTAACTTGTAGAGATATCGGGTATTTTTTGGAAGCAGGTACGATGAAAAATGAGCAATCACCTTGGCCAGGAATCGAACCACGGACCTCTGGAATACCGGCCCAGTGTGCAGATCACCACACCATGAACCAAGAAGGTGGGAGAAATACCTTATATACTTCCCCTTTAAAGGGCGGCTGGGGTTTTTAGGGTACCCAAACGCCAAATCCTGCGTGGGGAGAAATCATCATCCAACACCCTTTTAGTTCGGGCGCAACTGTAGAGACATTAGGCATTTTTGGAAGCAGGCAAGATGAAAAATTAGCAACCGCCTTTGCCGGGAATCGAACCACGGACCTCTGGAATACCGGCCCAGCATGCAGAACCACTATACCATGAAGGCACGCTAGGAAGGCAGGAGAAATACCTTATAAACTGTACAAAAAAAATGGCTGGATATTTATAACAGTTGTTGTTGAATTGTGTATACAAGTGTTGGCTAATACAGCTGTTGTCATTAAAACCACATACAAAGCTGATGTGTGACAGGTCCTGGGTAAATTAAAAGTTAAGCAGTACAAACAATATCAACATCTATTTTCTTTGCGATATAGTCATTTCCATGGATCTAATTAATTCACAATTTTTCTTGCAGAAAAGAAATCAAATAACAGCTCATCAACTGGCTTAAATAGGTACAGTCAAAAGTCGTTAATTCGGACTCGTCAGGACTTTGGCGATTCCGGATTATCGATTTTTCCGGATTATAGATCATCAGTTTAAATCTCGTAAGATGGCATGCAGAAATTCTAAAATTAAATATGAAACGTTTAATTATGAATAAAGAACAATTATAATCTAAAAAGTATCAAAATTTACAAAAAAAAGCTTAATATTTATTGTTTACTTTATTAAACATTTCTTTCAATGTAAGTTGTTTTAAGTTGCTTGTTTTATGTGACAATACTTTCTCTTTTATTCTATAAACAACAAAATTTCTTGTTCAGTTACAAATTCTGCTGTTCAAGTCCGTTAATTGTTGTGCCGAGAATACCGACTAACTTGTCAATCGAATTTTTCGTTTTGACTAACCTCTCTGTCACATTCTTCATGTCTTTATCCATTTTTGCAGCGCAATTCCACTTTTTGTTTGATGGAAATCGAATATCTTTCTTTTGTACGATCCTTTGAGAGTCCAGAATCGGATTCTATTTGACATAATCGAAAGTTCAAGTTTACTTTATAAAATTCTCTTACAGTCTGGAAAAATAATAAGCGGATCCATTCGAAGATTAAGGAACAACGCAATCATCAACATTAACTGAATAGATAATTAGATAATTTTAGATTATACCGTCCATTAACATAAAAATGCACGCGAAAACGTATTCTGCTTGCGCACACCATATGCCAGTGGTAAAAGGCCTTACGTGCACGTGTAAACACCTATGCGCATGTGTCAACGCGGTGCATGCGCAGAAGGTTTTTAGCTTTGAGGTCCGGATTATAGATTATTCTGGATTATGGGTGTCCGAATTAACGACTTTTGACTGTACCTAATAAGAAATTGTTTCAAATCTGCTCATAACAGAAAACTAGTAAATAACAGGCCTTTGACCGTTCATTTACAGTTTTTGCAATAAATGCTATAGCTTTACATTTAAGTTGACTCCAACTAAGCTTCATTACACAGTACAGTCACATCTATACTTATAAAGCATACATCTCTCTCACATAACCCAGATCAGAATTATTTTTTTCGAAGTTATACATTGTATTCTAAAATAAATAATATCCTCAAAAAATAAATTTATTAAACTTTTCCATAAACAAATAACATAATTTGAAATGATGACTGTAGTAGTGAAACTTTACCACATTTCCAAGCTATCAAAAAGTCATTAATGTATTATCTAACAAAGGCAGTCAATATGCCGTAAAGCAAGGTGACAACCTGGTCAGTATGCCACTGCTAAGAAATGTTTTCTTTGTTATCTGCCTAATTGTTCTTATGAAGGATTCAAAAATAAATTCAGATTCTTAAAAATCTGTGCAAAAGAACTATAAAAACCTAGATTTTTGTAGTCAGTCAAAATGAGGTTTCATAGGTACATAGAAAATTATTACATTTCTTTCTTTTGAAATATCAAAAAATTATTTTATACCTGGCAAGTATAGAAATTCTTTTTTGACTGTCTCCTGCTAATTAATGCCAGCCAAATAAAAAATGTTTTATTAAAGTTTCTAAGGGAAAGCAAAATGGAAGGCATGCACAACAGCAGGAATTGCATTGTCCTAAGAAAATATAGAGTATAACAATGAAAAATTTCAGAAATTTTACAACAGTTGCTAGTCTAAGAAAATTCATTACACTTTCATGAAATTTTACGGTAGAATGCTTCTAAGCGCTTTTTAACATTAATTGATAACACAATTTTTCCTTTCAATATACCCTATAAAAAATCATCAGGGAGACAAGACATCTCTGGTTGCAGACTTTGTAAATAATTGATTACAAATGGTACAGGCCTTTTAGGAACCCTAGTTGCTTTCAGATGACAACGTGACATTATCAACATATTTTGAAATCAATTGGACAGCTCTGAGTTGCCAGGGCAGCTGACAAATTGTAAGACATCAATGACTGCTGTGACCCGTTTAGTCATATAGAGAATTATTTCTATATATTTTCCCTAATTCCAGGTTTTAAAGCTATGCATAATCTAGGAACTGAGAGAGAGCATCAATGCTGGAATTAATGACTACCGCCCCAAATGAAAGCACCATCACTGCATTTCACAGTGTCAGCCACAATCAGCTTGCTGAGCTATTTCAAAACATGGGATGCCTGGTTGAAAAAAAGAACAAATACTGTTTGAAAAAAAGAACAAATACTGCTACTTTTGTTGTAATGTAATGTACTGGACACCTCTCAAGGTATGTTTATAGCAACAATTACATTTGCCTACATTATATATTATGCCTACAGAAAAAGATCACTTGGAAACTTTTTTTAATATAATAAAATGACAGAATTAGCCTAGAAAATTTTTACAATTCACAAATTAATTGATATACAGCATTATTTGCAAAATGAATAAGTATTTCTATTATCACTTTCTTAACATAAAAAAGATTTTAATCTATCATACACTTTTGTGAAAAATGTTTTCAGAAATTATTGAATTAAAATAATCAATAATAATTCAGTTAAAATATAAATTAAGAATCTAAATTTCATTTGAAGTGGTTTTAAAATAATATAAGTAATTTCTACCTTTTTGTGCAAATTATCCATTTTTTTCAAGTAATCAGATTCCGCAGCAGGAATTTTGTCCATAAAGCTAAGAGAGGATTATGCAAAACAGCAAAAATTATAACACTGGAAAAATAAATATTCTTCAGCATGCTATTAATTAACTGTACTAACACATAAATTTGCCAACAAAAGAGAACGATTCTAAAAAAATAGACTTAAAAAAATTTATTTTGATACAAATATCAGAATCATTCATAGCACAAATTTACCTCATGTTAATCATAAAACTCAAAAATAGCTAGCAGAAAAGGAAAAATCAAAAGCAGGTCAAATACTATAAAAATATATGATTATGTATTATTCCCCTTTTCCTAGTAGTAGCTTCAAATTCCACGATGCGATGTTTCATATCACTTTTCTTGTTCACAACTATAACAGGAGCCACAGAAATTAAAAGGTTTCGTTGCCTACAAGCAAGTAAAGTTGTTATAAATGTGTATTTAAGAAGATCATTTAAAGAAATATGAGCATTACTTATAATCAGCAAATAATTTAAAGATCATATGTTTTCATTTTTACATTTCCCTACTGTTTTTTAAAAAAGACAAAATGTAATGCCACTTTCTTTGAAATTGCAATTATAGGCATATGGGAAGTCTCATATAGATTAACAAATATTTAAATAAATCTTCAATAGCTAATCATAGTTTGGATAAATTATCATTGATCACAAGTTTGGATAAATGACATTTCCTTGAAGCTTTCCCCATGCACAAGAATTTATCTTCTTTAGTTACTGACATTAATTCCAATCCAAGGCTTCCTAATTTTTCATGTTTCATTACTATTTTTTACACTACATAGTACTTACTATATTCATTCTTGTTTTGCTCTACCATATGCTTCTGGTATAAAATCAGTCATCACTTTTCACATTTTGCAATGTTTTTGCTCCTAAAGAAGAGGGATCCGTGTCCAATCACCCTTGAAGTCCATAGTGCTTTATCTGAAATCTCCACCTAAATAAGACTTCTTTTTTGCCTAACTTTACATTTAACATTGGTATCTTTTTCTTCCATTTTGATTTTTTGCTACCAACCAGTATTAGCCATAAAGTTCTTATAGATGGGTATATTTGGTTTCTTACAATTTGGTACTTCCATTCTGGGGGGGGCAGGGGATTGGCATTTTGTTTTCATCTTAGATTCTTTCATCCTTGGAAGTTGGTAAGTTTTGATTTCAATTTTACTTCAGTTTATGCTTCGATGATTTAATCTATGTTAGTATTTTATTTATTTTATATCTTTTTGCTAATATTCTACAGTTTTCCTACATCATCACTTTTTTGCTTTTGTTGCGTTTTGTGTTTTTTATCACTTTGAATATTTTTTCTCATCTCTGTTTTTGAAGTTTTTATATTTTAGCTTTTTTGCCATAATACTTCATGTTCCTGGCTCTTTCATGTCACCATTTTTGTTGTTGTTGTTGTTTTTCCATTTCTTTTTATTATGAAATCAAAAGGCAACCAGTTTTCTCAGTTTGAGTCATATCAATTTGTTTAACCATCTCCAACTTTTACTTAAATGCAAATGTGAGAAAATGATTTTCCAAATTCATACATGTCAAATGTAACCTTAAATTTTCTGTTTCTGTTTCCCAAAATCCTCGAAATTGTTCTAATTCCAAACCACACACATTTACAACTAATCTCTAACTTTAACTCCAGGCAAGAACAAATGCCAACATACATATTCAAAATGTAATACCAATTGAACTTTAATGAATGAATATAGATAATCAGTACAAACGAGCTGTGCTACATTTTTATTTTCGTGTGATGAATCTACCAGGTTTGCAGTGAAAAAAATTAATAGTGTACATGGTGAACACACTATTAGTGTAAGGACTCCCCAGAAATGGTTTAAAAAATTTAAAGTTGGAAAAAGCAGCATTGATTATGAACCCCGTTCAGGACCTTTTGAACTGTTAGAACCAAATCAAACCATTAATTCAGAAGTTTATAGTGAACAACTTTGCCGTCTAAGCTCAGAATTGATCAAAAAACGCCCATGATTGGTGAATATCAAGAAAGTGTTGTTTCATCATGATAACATAGACCACATCTGGCTCAAAAGGCTCAAAAAATCAGTAATTTAATTAGAGCTTTGCCACATCCTGTTACTACCTATATTGGCCCCAAGTGACTTTCATTATTTCGTTGCTTACAAATTTTTTAGGGAAAAAATAAATTTAAAACAGAGTTATACAATGAACTTCAAGTTATTTTGCATCAAAACCAGAGTCTTTACAGCAATGGCATAAAAAGCTGCCTGTAGTGGCAATCATTGTAGAAAAGGAGGAAAATATATAATGTTAAATGTGTAAATGTGTTTTTTATATTATTTACCAAAAAATGCACACGAATTTATGGACTGACACAATATATGATTAAATATAAGTAAATTTTTAAAAAATCTGTCTTAAAATATGTATTAACTTCTTCAATGCCGAGATTACATTTTTAATAAATAATCTTTCTGCAATCTTAAATAAATATTTTTTTGTAAAGCACACTACACTAGAAAAGAATTACCATATTTGCCGGTGTATAAGATGTACCGGCCTATAAGATGCACCCTCTTTTTTACACATTTTTGAAGCATAAAACTTTATTACTGATCATTATAATGAATTTACAGTGTTTAAATATAAAGTGATACAAATACAAAATAATACTTTATGCAAATACTCTATCTATCTGGGAAGGAACACCTTTAATGTTCTTCAAAACCCAAACACTCATCTACAGAGCTGAATGAAGAACTTGAAATCTCTTCTAAATCAGCATCCGAGTCCTCATATAACAAATTGTCCTCAGTACCATCCAGTGCATTACAAACTCTTCCTGATTCCAACAAGTTCTTGTCATTTTCTCAGTTGGAGGTGGCTCAAAATGCCTCTCTGCAGTCCTGTTTCCATGCTAGCACGTAGTTTGCATGCTATCTTATAGCAATGCCGCCTTGTTTTTGAGCCATAACTTTCCAACAAATTTAAGAAAATTAAACAGTAGAAATTTCACACACTTAAAAGACGTTCACAAAGAACGGAAAGTTAAACAAACCCAGCTATGATTGTCAATGAAAGCGCATGCATATTCACTACACTCTACGCAACTGTAATATTCACACTCCACCAGGAAACAAGGAAAAAAACACGAAACTATGAATAAACTGAGTATCAACGTATAAGACACACCCCGTTTTTCAGAGCTACTTTCAAAGAAAAATAGTGTGTCTTATAGGCCAGCAAATATGGTAATAAAAATGCATCGACTTTAAAGTTTTCACATCGTACCTCTTGCAATTGTTCCTACAGATTTTTTCCCCTTCTCTCTAGCTTCGTTTATTGTAAGAATGCAGAAAAACGTACATGTGTTAATGTCTTGCTTATAATATCAGCTAAACATCTGCTCAGAAGATTGTTTTATTAGCAGGCTTGGAACTGTGCAGCTGTTGGTGCTTCAGAAGCTGCATACTCTTAGTTGCAATGAAAGCAATTTTAAGAAAATAGAGAGCATAATCATAACATCAAACCTATTTAATTCTTCCTTCTTGATGCAAAATTCTACAAAATTTTCTTTCCTCATATTATCCTTTAGAAATTTTTTTACTGCAATTGCATGCTGATTTCTGAAAATAACAGAATGTTATACTTTCAAAAGCATACAAATACAAAAAGTTAAGAAAAAACATTAAAAAATGCAATCTACAGTACAAAAAGTCTGTAATCCAGACGTACATTATCCGGAATAATCTATAATCGGGACCTCAAAGCCACAAAATTTTTTTGTATGCTTTACGCATGCATGTAATGCATTTAAGCATGCGCATGTAATATCACGCACGTGCGTGTAATGTTTACGCATGCGCGCTTATCACAAAAAAACAAAGCAACTTAAACAGCTTACATTTAAAGAAATGTTTAATAAAGTAAACAAATAAATATTAAGCTTTTTTTTTTTAATTTTCATACCCTTAGATCATAATGCACTTATTTCATATTATGGTTTCATTTTTAATGTATAATTCTGATGCATCTTACCAGATTTAAATTGATGATCTATAATCGGGAAAAACCCTTAATCCAGAATCGCCGAAGTCCAGACGAGTCCGGATTACAGACTTTGTACTGTATACAACACAATGTGAGAACTTGATTACCGAAGTTGAAGGAAAACTTTCTGAAAGTATGGCTAATAATAATGAACCCACACTAAAAACTGGAAATATAATATTGACCTACAGGCTAGTATTTAAAAAATAATAAACAAAATTTGACCCATTTCTCAAAAAAGGTTTGTCACCGCTGTTCTATGCCATCGCTATTACTAAGTTTGCTTTATAACAAGTGTGTGCGTATAAACAAAAGTTGAGAAATTCTGACCTATACTAATTGCCAAATTATGATTTATGAAGTCTCATAGCATGGCATGGAATTAATTAAATAATCAACAGATAAGAATTAAATCAAACTTAGATCATCAAAGAGTAGCAACTTTCAAAGAGGAAATACACATATCAAAAGTAAAAGAAAAACATTTCAAAACAATACATTAAAATTAATAAAACAATTCAATACAATTAATATAAATGATATTAAACATCCAAAAATTTATTGAAAGTTCCTTGGTCTTTTTTATGGAGAGGTTGAAGAATTTTCAACACAGCCACATTTCTGAATTATATCTAGATGACTGTTAATACTGGAAACATTTCAAAATAATTTTTTTTTTAAATGACAATTAAATAAGGTAATCAAAGTGCTTTAAAAGTGCAACAAAGCACTTTGTTAAATTTAATTAATCGTCAGTATATAAGAAGTGATGACATCATCTCCCAAAAAAATTATAATCATTTTAAAGAATTATAAAATGAATTTTTGAGTAAAAAAAAAAACTAGAATAACTATTGGATAAATCAAAAGCAATCTACTAGATACATATTAATTCAATTTTCAAGTAATCAATGGGTAAATCAAAAACAATGTGCTAAACAAACAATAAAAATATTATAAAAAGAATTGAGTAAGGAACCAGAAAAACCATCAGGTAAGTCAAAAGGAATGTTCTAGACAAATATTAAAAGCAATGCATGAAAGAAAAAGAAGAACTGTAAATAACTTTTTTATTTCATCATTCTGGTTTCATACTCAAAAATATTTATGTAGCAGATTGCTTTTGATTTATATAATGGCAATTCTAGTTTCTTACTTGAGAATTCTTTTTGTAATCCTTTTAAAAATGTTAATTTTATTTTGGGGTCCTGTCGGAGCAGGTTAATGATTAACTAAATAATATGTTTTTTTTAATTTACCTTGTTGCACTTTTAAAGATTTTAAAACTTAATTGGTATTTTATTTTAGTTTTTCTTTTGAAATTTTTCCAGCCTTAACAATCATCTAGATATATCAGAAATATGGCTCTGTTAAAATTTTTAGCTGCTCCGTGAATGAAAAAAAACAAAAAAAAAAATCCACAGTTTATATATTTTTATCAGTTTTATTAATTTTACTAAATATTTTACTAATTTTATCATACTATTTTTAAATGTTTTTTGTTTTAATTTTGATACGTGTATTTCCTGTTGGAAATTTGCCCCCCCCTCTTCATAGTCTAATTTTGATTTAACTTTTTCTTGATTATAACATACATATAAGATATTGCTCTTTTTAATATAAGAGAGATGCAAAGCTAAATGCTTATGGATTTGCTTTTAAAAGTATGTAAATGGAGGATTTTTATGGCAACATACTCACAAGTTTCATTTAAAATCTTTTTATGGTACTATTCGGTTTTGAGGGCCATAAAAAAATTGCAGCGATAATGTACGTGCAAAAGCGCTAAATCTAGCATATGCACTGATTTCAGATTGCGTAAGTTTATATAGTTCTATATTTCTTAAGACGCCTTTTAAATATTAGTTTAATTTTTCAATCCTTTTTTGATTTTAAATCCTTTTTCGATATCCTATTGATTTAACAATTTGGAAAAAATCCTAGAATTGCACAAAAATGGCACTGCGCACACCCTTGATTTTATCTGTCACATCGACCTATTTTCACTTAAAAGTAAAAAAAATTGACAAAAATATACAATTTTTTACCCTTGTAAAAGTGGCAAACGTTCTGCACTTACCGAGAATATTTTCAAAGAAAAGGCATATCATTATAGAAAATACGTTGAACAACCAACGAGATGAACTTATGCTTTAAAGCGAAGTCCATCGAAGCACTGCAGGCACCATTCAGTTATGTTTAGCGTTTTTATATTATAATAATGCTCTGAAATAGTTATTTACTCTTATCTTCCCTTCAGTCATGTTTAGCCTTTTCATATAATATAATAATAAAAAGTTTATTAAATTTTCTTTCTCTTAAAACATCAATCTTAAATAGTTATTTACTATTATGCTTCCTTTCTTGCCGCAATTATTTTTGGCAGCATTGCCATCAACAATAGTTTGGTGATTTTTTACGACCCTCGAAACCGAATAGTACCCTTTTTATTTACACATTCTGAACTGAGCTTGCCTATTTCCTGTTTCTGGTAGATTGTACATGTCATCAATTGCACATTAGACCAAAAAAATTTAATTATGCCCTTCTACTTCACTGACAATTTTTATACATCATTACCTGAAAATCTGCTTAGGAAATGTCATAGAAACAAGTACATTTTCAGAAGTTTGCAGGTTTGTTTAGACCTTGTAAAACTTCCATTCAATAGACAGATTTCATTTTAATGCAGTAGAAAAAATTAGAAGTACTATCTCCTTGCATAATCATCTCCTTCACATTGTAATAATCAATACCATTTGCAGCTTATAAACCAAAAAATTGCAGCATGCCCTGGCTCTCTCTTACAATGGCTTTAGGTTTTATGTAAATCCATCTAGTTCTCAGTAAGCTGATTAAGTTTTCATAAAGGATATGAAATAATTGCTATTTAAATGTTTCTCCCCTTGCTTTCAGAAAAGGTGAATAAATTTTGGAAACTTTTTTTGAACAGCATACAGTTGAGTATCTCCAAAGTTCCAGGATCCTGGCATTAAGAAACATGCATTAATAGGCACAACATATGATTTTATTTGAAAACAGGTAAAAATTATAATCTGATACAACCTGAAAAATCATAAGTGTGTTAAATTTTTTTTATATATATTCTATAATGCGCATCTGTTGATTACCTAAGAACTTCTGCAAACTTTCATTTTACGACAGGAAACATAAAATGTTTCAACTTTCTTATTTTTAAATTTACAGAATTTCTTGTATCCTTTGCTGTCTCATGTTATAATAAAAACCATGGCTTTTTATAATTTTAGATGGAAAAATGCTTCTATTTATTTGGCTTTTCTGCCATGAACAGTACTTTTTACTTGCTCAGCCATCCAAAATTTTCACTTATCCTATATCTGGCATTTCCCGAGCTTTCAGGAGAATAAGCAAGTAATTTTATTATTGCACAAAATGGCTGAGGAAAAACAAACTGCCAGGTAAGGTTACATTTATGTGAATAATGTATCCAAGTGATATAGTTGTTTATTATTCTGATCAGCAAGGAATTATACAAGGGCTCTTTGATTTAGAGCTGGTGCCTTTGTGAAGAATTTCCTAAAGAAAATGGGCTCTGTGTTTCTCAATGAAGAAAATCTGTTCCACCAGGAATTGAACATTGAAAAAAAATTACCAGCATTCAACAACTTTATCTACCTGGCTTTTAATATGCCTGTGTAAAATTAGTGTCTTTAACCCAATTAATTAGTGTCTGTGTATAATTCCCAATGTGTGATATACAGTCAAAAGTCGTTAATTCAGACACCCATAATCCGGAATGATCTATAATCCGGATCTCAAACTAAAACTTTCTGCGCATGCGCCACTTGCACATGCGCACAGGGTTTACGCGTGCGCGTAAGACCTTGACTACTGGCATATGCGTGGGCGCAAGGCAGAATACTTGTTCGCCTGCGCGTTTAATGTTATAACGGATTTAAGCTAAATCTATTATCTATTTCCTTAATGTAATGATTGCGTTGTTTTAATCTTCGAATGGGATCCCGCTTATTATTTTTTGCAGACTGTAAGAGCAATTTTAAAAGTAAACTTGACTTTCGATTATGTCAAATAGAATTTCCGATGCTGAACTTCCAAAGGATCTACAAAACGAAAGTATGTTTCGATGTCCATCAAACAAAAAGTGGAATTGCTGCAAAAATGGATAAAGACATGAAGAATGTGACAGAGAGGTTAGTGTGAAACGAAAAATTTCGATTGACAAGTTAGTCGGTATTCTCGGCACAGCAATTACGGACTTGAACAGCGGGAACTTTGTAACTGAACAAGAAATTATGTCTGTTTAAATTAAAGAGAAAGTATTATCACATAAAATAAGCAACTTAAACAACTTACATTGAAAGAAATGTTTAATAAAGTAAACAAATGAATATTAAGCTTTTTTTTTTTTTGTAAATTCTGATACCCTTTAGATCATAATTGTTTTTTATTTCATAAATTACGGTTTCATATTTTTAATTTTAGAATTTCTGCATGCCATCTTACAAGATTTAAACTGATGATCTATAATCCGGAATCGCCGAAGTCCCGATGAGTCCGGATTAACGACTTTTGACTGTATACGAAACACTTCAGTTTCCTTCTATGAACCCACTATATCAAATGTGATATGGGAATGAAGTGTCACTAGCGGCCTACTGTATTATATAATATGCTGAAACAGACTGTTTTATTTGTCACTTGAAATGCACTTAAATTACGTTCGAATGTCACAAAAACTTCTTGATTGGAATTTGGTGAGTATTAGTCTTGTTATTATTATTATTTTATTCTGCAAATGTAAAATACACAATGCACTTAGCATGCGTTCAGAGTTTCGAAACATTTTGTAGAGTGCAAGCGCCTTAAAATTTTGCATGCAAATATGACAACAGGATAAAATAAGTACTGGTATTTAAATTCTTAAGTAATTTTACTCTTACTGTACAAAAATAATTTAAACATGTAAATATAATAATTATTACTATTGCTGCACATTAACTTATTTTGAATGAATTTTTATTTAATTTCTATCATTAGGATTTTTTTTTCCATTATATGAAATAATATTTAAGAAGCATATGCAAGAATCTGGGTGTTTCAAAAAAATATAGATTTTACGAGATTAAATTTTTGCACGTTGGGTTGAATTCCAAAATGAACTCGTGCCTACAATGACATTCAATGTTCTGTGAGTGAAGAGGTTACAATTCAAACAATATTACAATATAAATCCACAATCTAAAAAAGAAAAAAAAAAACTCAAACTGCAACTTGCAATACATATACATTTTTTTATATTCTCCGCAAAATCTGGAAGCACTGTTCTGCATCTGGGTTTCCTTTAACAAATTTTATCTGTACTATAAATAATACAATTTTGTACTTTGCCCTAGAAAACATAAAAACTGATTATTCCAGGGTGCAATAAAAATGAGACTTCTAACCTTATACAAAATCTTAAAGGGAAATTAGAGAAAATTTGAAGCAATTTCATATTCATTGATATCTTTCCATCTGAGACATCTTTTATACTTTTTAAGACTAAGTTTGTTAATGAAAAGAGAAGCATATTTTATATAATAATATAAAATAATGATGCTTACGCACTATCACAACCACCATAGTAGAAATCACCAAATTTTTTAGATACGCCCAACTCTGATAAACATGCACATAGCATTCTTCAAGTAATCATGCTTTAAGCAAATCTTCAGTTAAATAATGACATCATTTTTGTATGCATTTTTTTAATTGCATTTTAAATTCCAACGTTTTTTATAAACAAATCATAATCTTTTTTGCCTTAATCACAATTTTAATAAATCACTTGCGGAATTTGCCAAAAATTGAAGAAATTGAGATAAAATGTCTGCATGAATATAGAATTTCACAGTAAAATCGCAATGGGAACAAGGATGAAATGCGTTTGGTAGATAGCCAATGAGCAATACCAAGTTGTGCAATTTTCCAACGTTTTTAAAAGTGAAAACAGGTTGCTAAAAATGTGTTTAAATTTTTAATGTGTCACATAATTTTTACTTAATAATTAACATATGTACCGTAATTTCGCGCATATAGTCCGCGGACTATCTGTTCACCGGCTTTGAAGTGGGATCCACCATGCGATAATACGCTGGTTGTCACGTTTAAAAAATTGTTGATTTTAAAAAACACGCTGCGTGAAACTGCCAATGACAAAAGAAAAAAAAAAGCGCGAGATTCCAAGTTCCTTCGCACTGCTTTAGCACAACTTGCCGGAGGGGAAAAGTATTGATGCGTCAGCTCGGTTTTTTAGGAGCATAGTCAAGTACCTGGAGCTGAAAAAAAAGCGTGATTCTTTTTATTATAGCGTGGTTTGGCAACACGAGTGAATGGGGTCAAAGGTCACATTTCATTACCACTTATCACGAGGACAGTATTAGCACGTTGGACAGTATTTTTGTTTTCGTATTTGTCTTTCATCTTCGATAACGTTGATGTAACCTCGCCGGAGATTTACTGCTGAGAGGTAGTTTAGAAAACTGAAAAAGATGAAATAGGAAGCGGGCCGTTATTGGTTTAATCCTAGTACGGGTGCACACTTTTAACTACTTTTGGCGACTTTATGAATGAGAGTGAAAACGGGGAATATCGATGAGTAGTAACGGTCATTCAAAGAAAATATATAGTTAAACATAGTATATACTATGTATTGTATAATACTATGCGGTATAGTATATATATAGACGTTCTTTGGATTCATTTTTGGTGTTGGCGTAATTTTCGTCGCGCCAAGGCTGCACCGTATACTAGGATTTTACTCCGTTATTTTGAAGTGGACAAAAAGCGGTGAGAAATTGCGCAAACAAAAGATGTTATTAAAAAGCATGGGAAATTGCCGTATTAAAAAACGTAATTTCGGACGTATAGTCCGCAGACTATCTGACAATTTTTAAATTTTTTTTTATATAAAATCGTGTCTGCGGACTATACGTGCGAAATTATGGTACTTTCAATAGGTTGGTAATAGGTACTTATGTACTATGATGATTACCTTGGCAACATTTGCCGATAAAAATCTCAATTGACATTTTTTGGTTTATGTTTATAAATTCTTTTAAAAATGAAAGCCCTAATGATAAAAGAACAAAAACTTAAAAACCAAAACCCCTGAATATATATATATAATAAATAAATGTATGTATATATATTATAAATAAACGTACGTATATATATTATAAATAAACATATGTATATATATATAAACTATATACGAAATACGAATTAAAAAATTTAACTTACTTAAAATTGGTTAAAAGAAAACATTGAGGTTAATGGTGAGGAAAATGGAGGGAAATAGCTTTCAAAACAGCATCGAAAGGAATTTCCTGTTTTTTCCGCCAAATAAATTCAGCTAAATAGGCATCCAAATGATGGCGGCTTGTCCCTTGTTGTCGCTTGTTCCTCCATTTTGCGGAGCCCCACATCCTTTCAACGTGTTGAGTAAGAGTCTGCGTAGATGCGTCAACAAAATTGTATCGATGATTCACCTTAAAATGTTTAAAACTGGCAGCAATGAGCTCCTCTGTTTGATATCCAAGCCTTGAATATCACATTATTGTTGAGCCTTCAGCAATATTATTTGGGATTTTATGCATTAATGCTGTTGCCTTCCAGTCTGGAACTCTGACTAGAAAAGTTTCTTTTGTCTCCCGGCAAATTCCACTGAACACCCACTATTGTGGCAAGATACGACCTTGATTATTCTTTCGACGCATAAAAAGGCTTTCGTAATTTCAACAATCATTCCGGACCCTCCAATTTTAATATTTCGATTATTCTCCAAATCCTTCACTCACACTTAACGCATATAATTATTATAACAGTCTTATCGGATAAATCCAACTGATGTTTGCACAATTTAATGGACAACTGTTTATATGTCCAAAAGTAAATAAATCTTAAAGCTTTTAAAAATTCAATATGACTGTTTTCAAACCCCGTACCAGTTCAGACACCAAACTTTCATTGGCAATTTTTGACATTGCACCTCCAATAGAATCCTGAATTATAAAACTTCATATCATGGCCATTTTTACAAATGCATTCTTTGGGTAAAATTCCAGCCTCTCTGAAAAATTCTATCACTTCTTCTTCATTTGAAGAAGTTGGAAAATGTTGATATCCATTGGGAAAAAAATAATCACAAAAAGTTTCCCATGTTTAACCTAAACATAATAATCCACAAAAATGTTGCAAAAAAAAAAAAAAAAAAAAAAAAAAAAAAGGTGTGATAATAACCTATGTTAGAGTTAACCTGTATAACCTAAAAGGGTCGCCAGTTTTGGCAAGATATCATCTAGGCAGTCATCATAGTACGTCAGTACCTGATAATATTTGCAAACTTATGACAAATACCAATAATCTAGAAATTTTTCATGACTTTCTCTCATGACTCAAAGTCGTGAAAAATTGCCAACCTGCACCTAATAAGTAACTTATATTTTCATCCATGAAAAATCCCGAAATTGTGCCAATACACAAATACTTAAAATACTTGCATTGATAATATTTTAAGATTAAAGATACAGGACAATTTACTTTAAGCACATTAAAATTCAAAACACTAACAAAATTCTAAACACAAATTTCTACCAATTCATTATTAATGAAAAATTATTAATGCTCATCATGTTAATGAAAACAAAACTAGTCTGCAACTGACGTAATTCTTCAATATACTCTACTTTCTAAATAACAACTATTCAGTGTTAAAATCTCTAAAATATATAATTTCTTTGAAGATTAGTTATTATACGTAACTTGCTTATACCTGTTCACAAATTAAACACTAAAAAAATTAACAAATTAATTACATCACTGATAAGAAAACTTCAAGTTATGTCACACTTACCCAGCAAGGTGTGAAAGAAAGTTCAACGACTCAATAATGAATGTTTCATGAGCCTGATGCTTTAGCACTTTGCATTGACAAAAATTGCAACGTTCAAATTCATTTCTTTTCTCCCACTGTTCATCATGAACCTTCACTGGCTCTGATTTCAAATTTCTAATCTAAAAAATAATTCATACCAAGCTTTTATTAGCAACTACATAAACACTCAATTGCATATTTTTTTCTTTGAGGGGCCATATTTACAGAAAAAATCTGGAACCCACTTTTTCAAATGTTAATTTACATTGCTGAATAATAATTGTAGTAATAAACTACAGATACTTTAATGAACTTGCTTTGCTTTGTATAAGCACTTACATTTATAACCTCATATTACATATTAAGGTATTCTGTTAACTGCGAAAGTTGGCTACCATCAAACTGTCAAATTTAGCGGAGATCCTAAGAAAGTTGCACCAATGGTTTCTGTGAAATTCTGAAAGAATTTGTGCCTCTTTATTTACTAAACAATCAGTATTCGACCCATGTTATTTCTGCTCTTCATAAAAAGGCTTTCATTAATTTCGACTAGTTAATTAAACTGTTCAATTTTACCAAATTTTCTGTTTAGAACACTATGAGTACAAAATTGCTGCAGGTAACTGTTCCAATCTATTACTGTTTTGTCAGCCTGTACTGTTATTCAGCTGACCATATCATGTCACTGATAAACACTTTTCTTTTTATGGTAGGATAACATAACCTTAAAGATAATCCACTGCTTGCTGTTCTGGAGGATGCAAGTCCCAAATTTTACCTAACACTAAATTACACTGCTTCGTAGCAGTCTCATGATCGATGGGATAATATATAAGTACATACTTTAATTTTAAGCCTTAAAATTTAATATGTACTTACTGGAAAATGCAACTGTAAAGTCATTTTAGATTTCTTACACATGCAATTTTACAATTGCGTCTAGCCTCAAAACTAATTACAAAGACATTTTTTTAAATAAATATAGCATTTTTTTAAATAACCAAGTTTTTAATTTTGAAACCTACTCTTGATTGTTGGTTAAAGAAAAGCACTGTATCATCTGAGGAGAAATTAAACTCCTTAAAATGACTCAGAATGTACAGCAGTTGTCCACCACAGTTTTAAATACCTAAATTTGGTTAGAGAGAAGGGTATCTCTTGTATCATCACGAAGTTGTTGTTTCATTTATGGTAGCCTCAGCAGTTGAATGTTATTGAAACCCTAGTATGACGTAATCAGTTGCACGATTGTGGTAAATCTGTAAGGGCAGACAGTAAAATGGCTGAATGTGGTAAGATTAATTTGAAGTTACTGTACGATTTGGAAAGAAAGGAGAAAAGAGCATTACTTGACTTATGTGTAAATGAGGGTTTACTTAGTAGCCATTATTAAATGTCCTGTTTGTAGAAAGGAAATGCGTCTGGTTGAACATCGGAACAGCGCTACAGAGGATAGGATATTTTTTACTCTTATTTTGTGAATTTATGTGGTGATGCCAGTACACAAATTCTAGTTCAGATAATTTAGGAAATTTCTGGATGCTGTTAAGGAATTTTGTTTGACTGAAGACATGTTAATTCATAAATAAGCTAAGTGGATATTTCCTTTGTGTAGTGCAAAGATGAGTTTCCTTTTTTATGTTATTTCATTGTTTGATTTAAAATGTAGTTTATATGTACATGGACAAAGTTGAGGGAGTGTGCAATGCCTAGTTTTTGCAATTTTCTGATGTTAAGTGAAAATAGGTCGATGTGTACAAGGATAAAACCAAGGGAATACGCAATGGCAAGTTTGCACAATTCTCTGATGTTTTTTTAAGTGAAAATAGGTCAATGTGTACTTGGATACTGAGTTTGTGCAATTCTTTGTCTTGTTATTTTGGCTTTGTGTAACAGCGAAGACAAAATAAGAAGTCAAAGAATTGCACAAACTCGGCATCCATGTACCACCAAAAATCGCCAATTTTTCCCAAGGGTACATGTAAATATATTTTTACCCTAAATTTTATAAAAGTACAATTTTACTTTCAGAAAATATAGATTTATGAACAATGATTAAGAACTTTATATTTTGAATAATGTCATTTTCAACACACATAAAAGGTTATTTACGAAACAATTTTTTTCTTCATTTGGAAATAGAAAAAAGATTTTCAATCAGGAAAACTTAAAACACAGCATGTTACCTATACTTTTCAAACTGCTGACATGTTAACTAAAACATAACTGCTAACATGTTAAGTCAACATACTGAAAAAAATTAAGGCTGATCTTTAGAATATGGTAACTGGTAGTTTGACAACATTTTGGAGGCATAAAGGTTACTACCTGGGACTTTGGTAAAAGTTTTTGGATATTTTATTTATTTTATACGTGGAAATGTTCATATTTGGAAAGAGTATATACTTTTTCGTTATTAGGTATTTCATATACGTTCTTTAAGGGTTTTTTTAAAATTCAGAAAATTGTCATGCATTTTGTTAAATTTTTCTAATTTATGAGAAAAAGTAGTGTACATGGATATGGTGAACAGTGTGAGCAATGCCATTTTGTGCAATTCTGGGATTTTTTTTTTTTTAAAGTAAAAATAAGTCGACGTTTACAGGTTTAGTGATATTTTTTAATTATGATAGTTATTTGTGAATTTTATGTTTTGTAGGATTGGTATACGTTTTAGTTGAAAGTAAACGTGCATGGAAATAATTTAAAAATTGACAATAAGTATGTAATGCTGCAGTATGAATTCGTTGGTGAGTTTATAATATAATAGATGAATTTAGAGGTTAAAAGTTTTGGGATATTTTTTTATTTTATTGGAAATTTTCATATTTGGAAAGGTATATACTTTTTGCGATCAGGTAATTTCATTATTCTTTTTACCGGGTTTAAGATTCAGAAAATTGTCATGTATTTTCGTGAAATTTTTATAATTTATGAGAAAAAACAGTGTCACGGATATGGTGGGAGGTGTGCGCAATGCTATTTTTGGTGTTTCTGGGATGTTTTTTTAAGTAAAAATAAGTCAACGTGTACAGGGTTTAATTTGTGTACTTTTATTCTGAAAAACGCGTAAGGAAGTTTGGTATTGTGCCCATTTTCCCAACTTTGCAGTGATATTTGTCATGATTAAGCAGTTTGTTAGATAAATTTCTAGCATAAGTGTAATTCGGTAGTAGATTGTTGGAAAAAGTGTTCAGTGATAAAAGAAAAAAGAACAGTCTTTACTCCGTGAAGACAAAATGGCGGCGGGAAAAAAAAAATAGAGGGTTGCTGTAGCAGAGCTGGTTGCCAAATTTTCGCCAAAAAATCGCCAAGTTACCATAATCCAAAGATCAACTGAGCACTCTTTAATTAGCGGGGCATGAATCTTCGTAAATCTTTTTATTCTCTTAGTATGATATTTGGTCGTGGCCCAGTTTCGAGGCTGTGTTAGCTATAAAATATCACTCATCAGATTCGTAAATACGTTAATGTTTTCAAAACCATAATGGGCTTAATCCTAGTATCCGGGTCACAAGGGCTACTTTTGGCGACTTTATGATGAGCAGTAAACGAGACATGTATGATGAGTAGTTAACCCTTTCGCCGTCCTCTCCAGTGGCCGTCTGTTTTTCGTAGCGTGTAATGTTGTTTTCTTTGTACATCATGACTTTCCATACATGACTTTCGTAGTGGATGAATGTCAATGAATATTAAGTAAAATTATAAGGATAAAAAGCATAATGAAAAATAATATCTCTGCTTATTTCTAACAAGCGGATGATTGATAACATCTGATCCAGGCGGTCCACTCCTCCCATTTTGGTAGTTGTAATCTTTTACAATTATTCTTTTTTTGTTGGTTATCTTTGGATTATGGTAATTGGCGATTTTTTTGTGTGAAATTTGGTGACAACCCTGCTACAGCCTGCTTGTTTTCTTTGGATGCGATTTTGTTTTCATGAGTAAAATTTTTTTACTCAACATTTTTTTCCAACAATCTGCTAGCGAATCACTTTACTAAAATTTTGGAAAAAGTGCTTAATCACTGCTTGCGCCTTTTTTTTTTTTAAGAATTGCACATACACGGTATAATTCATGTACACGTCGCCCTATTTTCTTAAAAAATTCCAGAATTGCACAAAAATGGCATTGCCCACACTTCTTACTTTATCCATGTACATTGCTAAAGTCTAGCAGTATCTTTATCGCCTTACCAAATGTCGCTAAAAATACCTTTACATATTCAAAGATTAGCCCATGTTTTTACAGTTTTTCTTGTTCCAACATCATCGTCGAGTTATGGACTGTACTCATCAAATGATATCCTCCTTGTTTTCCAATTAACAACCTTTTTTTTTTTTTTGTTTCTGCTGAGTAGACTTGAAGCCATCTCTCAATGTCGTTCTATGTAAAATCCGCGAAAATTCAAAACCCGGAGCAAATTCAATTAGAAATAGAAGCCTGATTAGTACTGCCTTCTAGGAGGTTTATAACAAAAAAAAAAAACTCAAACAGTAAACATTTAGACCACCATTTTAAATGTATAAAATGCTTGAGCATGTTACGGCCCGCCCTGCAATTTTTTACTTGAACGCACTGAAGCGTTACGGACAACAAAGACGTTAAACGGATGATTTTGACGTTGGCGATAATTTTTTAAATCGCCAAGGCTGCACCGTATACTAGGACTTTACCCACAGGTTACTTCAGAAAGTACTTTGTGGCAGCTAATTAAAAATACAACTTTATAAATTTGCAATTTATTACAAAAGGCATTTAGCAACTTATTAGAAGTCAAATTTTATTGACTTTTGGTACTGGTTTAACATTTAATGTTAACTTCCAAATTCTTCCATCTCAGCCATAGTAAGTTTACTACATTTATAACTAATCAAGAACTTTTTTCGGTTGATCTTTACAATATGGTAACTGGTAGTTTGGCGACATTTTGGAGGCGATAAAGGTTACTACCTGGGACTTGGTATAATGTGAGCAGTACTCAGTTCCGATTACGCATTATTTTGCGTTGGGTAAGGAAAATGAGTCAGGGATTGGCATGTAATAAAATACGAATTACGGTTCTTAATCGGAAAGGGGGGAAATCCGGGAAAAAATTGGAAATTTGTATTTAGCTTTATTCTGGTTGTGTGTGAAACAGTGTTGTTTTTTTGGATCCCATGGCCCTAACTAAAGTGAATTCGAAATGGTATTTAGGCATTGTGATAAAAAAGAAGTTTGCTCTTTATTTAGCGGAGGAAGTATGGAGGAAAATTCGCAGAAATCTTTCAATAATTTTTATTGAATGAATTAGAAAAGTGTATCCACATAATCAAGATTCTGAAGAAATTAGGTAAGATAGTATTTTTAATTATTTGAGGATTATTATTTTTATGCATTGTTCTAAATGTAAGGTGGAAAGGAATTTGGTATTATTGGGGAAAATGTTATAGCAATGATTTTTAGTTTAAAGTAATAGGATGTAGGTAATTTTTATTAATTTAATGTAGTGCTCATTTATATTTTAAGTAGTGTTTTGATTTAATTATATTTTAATGTAATGATAGTTTTTGTGGAATTTTATGTTTGTAGGAATTTGGTATACGTTTTAGTGAGTAAACGTGCATGGAAATAATTTAAATATTGACACTAACTTTTTGTAATGGTTGCGGTATGATTTCGTTGGTGACGTTATAATAATAGATGATTTAGAGGTAAAAGTTTTTGGGATATTTATTTATTTTATATGTGGAAATGTCATATTTTGGAAGGGTATATACTTTTTCGCGATCAGGTTAATTTCATATATGTCTTTTACGGTTTAAAGATTGAGAAAATTGTCATGTATTTTCGTGAAATTTTTCTAATTATGAGAAAAAAAAGCAGTGTACAGGATATAGTGAAGAGTGTGAGCAATGCCTTTTTGTGAATTCTGGAATGTTTTTTTAAGTAAAAATAAGTGGCAATGTACTGGTTTATGTGTATGTGTTATTTTGAAAAACGCTAAGGAGTATGGTATTGTGCACTTTTTCCAATTTTGCAGTGAATATTGTCATGATTAAGCAGTTTTGTTTGATAAAATTTTAGCATAAGTGTAATTCGGTAGTAGATTGTTGCAAGAAGTGTTCATAAAATAAAAAAAAAGAAAATTCTTTATTGTGAAACAAATGCTGCGGGGAAAAAAAATAGGGGGTTGCTTAGGAGAGTTGGTTGCCAAATTTTCGCCAAAAAATCGCCAAGTTACCATAATGTAAAGATCAACCCTTTTTTCTTTGAGATTCAGATTGACTCTAAAATTTCACTTTTGGGCTGTTCAAAAATTTCCTGTCCAGGCATCATACTTAACAATACCAGGCAACATTTTAGTATATTTTAACTGATTTCTCTGTACTTGGATATCACTGCTTTTGAGAGTCAGTTGGCTGATGTGCCAAGTGGTTGCCTTTTGTGTGGAGCTGGATCTCACTGTCGTGTGGCTATTTGAACAGTCTTTCATTATGAATAAATCCTTTTTTACTGAAGGTATTCACTTGCAACCTCTTCATAATTAAGCAGTTGACAAATTTGAAGTTCCATATCCTTTCCTTTGTAAAATATTAGAAGCCAATAAGTTTCTGATGAAAAATGTATTTGAATAGAAAAATGCATTACAGATTTTTGTGATTGCTATCATTGTTGCACATATTTCAGCTGGAAGAATTGTTTTGTAATACAAATTTCACTTACTTTTATTATCTTTTATATATGCATAATTTTTAAATATTTCATTCGTTATGTGGGAAATTTAAGTATGAGATTGCATAAATAAATTATATCTAAGTTTTGTATATATGACAGTATGTTCTGTATATATATATATATATTATGTATACATATGTTTTGTACATTTTCCAATGTAAAGCATATTCATTTTCTAGAAGTTGTGTAGGTACATCTGTAGTTGAAGGAACTTTTATAGAGAGAAGCTCCATTACAAAGTCATTCAAACAAAAAGTTATTGATTAATTTTTTCCTCACATAATATGTCTGTTACTTTATGCGAGATGTTGGTTCTGATCCATACACATCATCCATTGAAAAGTGAAGTAATCTGTAACTCAGATTTGCTGTCAACATTTCCAGAAATCTGTGGTTGATCTTCCATGTATGATCCATATGTGAGCTACTTCCCATGTAATCTGTTACATTATAAAGTGAAATCCAACAGGATTTCCTAAGTGTTAATTGCATAATAATACAAGTGATTATTCATATTCTGTATTTGTAAACTCTCGTAGACTATCAGTGTTGCCACTGAGACAGCTAAGTGATTGAAAAGTTCGGCTATTTCTGATAAGTGCTTGAAAATAAGCATTTGGCTAATTTTTGGAATATGGTAACAGGTAGTTTGGCGACATTTTGGTAAGGTGATAAAGTTTACTAGCTAGGACTTAAGCAGTGACATGGATAAAGTAAAGAGTGTGCGCAATGCCATTTTTGTGCAATTCTGGGATTTTTTTTAGTAATAGGTTGACGTGTACATGGATGAGACCGTTATGTGCAAGTCTTAAAAAAAACAGCAGTGAGCGATTCTGCCACTTTTCCCAATTTTCACACCTAATCTTCGTCAGATTAAGCACTTTTTTCATAAAAGTTTTAGCATAAGAGACTTCGTCTAGCAGATTGTTGGAAAAAAAAGTTGAGTAAAAAAAAAAAAAAAATGCCTCTACTTAGTGAAAACAAAATGGCGTCCAAAAAAAAACTAGCAGGTTGCTGTAACAGGGTTGGTCGCCAAAGTTTCGCAAAAAAATTGCCAAGTTACCGTAATCTAAAGATTAACCAAGCGCTCTTCAATCACACGCAAAATTCAAAAACGTATACCTTCAAAAAAGTTTACATTAAATAACAGGAAATTAAATTTCGTTCACTCAGTAAGAGTTATAAGAATGGTATTTAAAAAAATTATTAAACCAGAATAACCAAATAATATATGACCAAATACCTGACGACGAAACATAAGAAAGCCTTGTTTCAACTTTTTCTGATGATCCTTAGATCTGCGATGTCCACTGTTTAAAATATTTTTGCCATTTAAACAGAATCCACAATAACGATAAGGCATAACTTCCGACCTACGATGTTCGGTAAACTTCTCCATTTATAGGGCAAACACAATATATTACAGAAAAACTGGGGAAAATACTAAGCGAAAAAACAACTTCGGCCAATAAGTATCAATTATTGAGTCAAAAAAAATTATCAATTCCAACGACAATCAGACAGAGAAAAGTTTTTTTCAAAATAAAGAAATTTTGCACCACACAATTCGATAACAAATGTTTTATGCGGAGCATCCGATATTCCAAATCTTTTTACCCGATGGTTACAAGTGTCAAGTTCAACCAAGGCCAACTTAAATAAAGAGAATTTTATTTTATTTAAAGAATTGAAAACATAAGCGAAATAATAAAATACTTCCGTGAAAAATTTAAATCAAAATTTTTACCTTTAAATATATAGCATGTAATCCAAAGAATTTAAAACGTTAGTGAAATTAAAAAACTTGGTGAAAAGACTTAATTAAAACTCACAAGAAGTAATTAAAAACTTCGAGTACTTTAAAAAGACCCCAATCAAAACTAAGAATATTGTTGTAATAGGGTGACGTACAGGTTTGCCATTTTGGCTTCATTGGTAAAACTAAAAAAATTTGATGAGATATTAATTGCTCAAAAGGCTAAAATTAGGAACAAAAGATGGAATTTTGAAACCAAAAGGAAAACTTTTAAATACTTAATGATTTGTTTTTAATTGCTTACTTGATGTCTTTACTGATACTATATATATAAATGCAGAACTGTTTTAAACTTTGAAGAAGTGATCATACTTAATGTTGATCTTGCTGCTTTTCTCCAGCTCTGCAGAAGTATAAAGAATATAAATTGTGTGCCTTTTCATAGAGAATAATTAATACTGTATTGTAAGTTATTTAATAGTCAGAAAATTTTAGATGTGCTAAATGTGATGCACCAAAATAAGAACTGAAATCAAATTGTTTTGATGAAAACTGTTGAAGATCGTAGTTACAGTTTTTCAGTCAGAAATACTGTAAACCTAACAAATTAAAGATTTCAAATAATGTAATTAATTTTTATCATTCTTTTGCTTAACTTAACTACCACTGAAAAAGCATGAAACCTCGCTTTTAATCATTTAAATAATTATAAAATTGTCAGAAATCCCAATATTTAAATAATTATTTGTAAAACACTAAAAATCCCAATAAATAAATGGAATTTTTAGGGTCCCCCTCCAAAAGGCATTTGTCATGGAATTCTTCCTGTATAGGCTTCTGGATATTCATTGTTTTCTGGTACAGCCAGTGAACCATTTGTACTTTCTTTTCCTGCTGCCCTCTGAATGGAAAAAACAAAGAAATGAGAAATTTTAATTGCTGTGCTTTCAAAAAATAGGGATGTTGCATTCTGGCTTGGCTGGTATTAGTCTTCGAAGATCTGCAAAGTAATCATACCGATTCTCACTGAAGGTCTGAATAAAAAGGTTTTTTAGTGGTCACTTAGAAGTAAATTGATGTTTAGAAGAATTTTATAACAATTTTTAGTTTAGGGCATTTTTCTTTCTATTACTATATTTTGTGAATTCGTGAACAAAACATGGTTTTGAAATATCCTGTTAATCATTTTACAGGGGTGAAGTGTCTCCTATGCAAATGTAGGAAAATAACACTTCTCTGACCCCAAGAGAATCAGTATTTTATTTTTTACAACGTTATATATATATATATATATATATATACTATATATATATATATATATATATACTTATTCACAATATACATTTACATTTTATATGCACATTAAATCGCATGGTAGAATAGCGACCTTTGTTTTTTGTGGAGACAAGAAAAAGCGTTGCCATTCCGCTTTAACTAAACTTAATTAGAAACTCGACGGAACAGAAGCGATGCTACTCGATTTTAGCATTAGATTTGCACACTTGTAAAATATGCAAATTCTTGATTGATTTGTGTCTACCTTTCACTGCTGTATGAATCAAAGCAAAATATAAAACAAATTTTTGATGTGCTTTTTAGTCATTTTTGTTGAATTAAAAGTATTGTTCCCAAATAAGACTAGTGTTTATTTTAAAGAAATGAAAATTAGTGCAACAATATCTTAGTGGCTGTACAGTTTATTTTACATTCTTATTATAAAGATTCAAAAACTTTATAAAATAGATTTAAACTGTATTTTGTTTTCCAGTTTTGCACGAAAATGTCTTCAGATTTTTATTACCAATAAAATGGTTTATTAAATGTTTTAAAACAAGTTCATATGGTTGAACATAGCTCCATTATTATAGCTGCAGTTATAAATGCATTCTACATTAATATCAATGGCATTAATGTAATCCTTTATTAGAAGTCTGTTATTTCATAGCATTGTGAATGTTAAAAATTCTTTATGTGGGAATTTTTTTGCCTCTGGTTTTGCCTTTTTGGGGGGATTTGGCCTTCAAGGGGCTTTTCCCCAATATTTTGTGTGGCTGTTTCGATGTATCTTGAGCATCTGATGTATGGCTTTCTTCAGCTAATCGTTTTATATTTATGATATTTTATAAATATGAGCATTTTATAATGATTACCTTTTGCGAATGAGAGAAAAGTTTGATTTAATTACAGCAGCGAAAATTAAAAATTATAAAGCTATTTAATGGAAGGAAATAATTTCCAGTAATCTTATTTAAATGCCGCAGTGGCTAATCGCACCGACGGTGCGAATAGCTTAGAGGCTATTCACACCACCTACGTTCGCGCATGCGCACAATCAGCCCAGGTACCAGATTTTACGCCGATTTCCGTAAGGCAGACGAAGGCGAGAGCGAAGATTATTAACTCTAACTCAGCAATAGAAAGGGTTGTTAATAGTTTACCAGCAAGAGAATAATTTGAAAGTAATTATTATCAGTTACAAAGACGAGGTCAATCTATATACATGATAATGTTCAGGAAATGATTAGATAAAATAGGGATTTAATGATGGTTTTAATTGCAAGCGAGGACGTGTAATTAGTTAAAAAAATCTTTAATGTATTAATAAAAAGGTTAAAGAATTTACTTAAGTACTTTTATTTAACAGAAGCATTTTTATGCAAACTTAGACCCTACTCTTATAGCATAGGAGTGTCAGAATTTATGATTAAATTAGAAGACTTACTGAAAATTATAATATTCTTATATATTCATCACTTTTTCAGTATCCACACATGTTCATAGGTTCAAATGTCATATTTCAAGTTATTTATGAAATAAAACCTTATAAAATCTGATAAATCATTTGTGTATGCAAATTTCAAAATTCTAAATCTCTTACATTAAATTATTTCTGTCTTTTAAATTACATCCCATTATTTTTAATTTATTAATGTGTTTGTACTAATACTTCAAAGTTGTTTGAAGTACTTTTTGTGTCCTAAAAATGCCAAGTATTTCTATAAAAAAAGTAAACAGGCATACAGAATTGTTAATAACCAATATTATCTGATTAATTGTTCATATAATAGTTGATTTAATCGCTTTTAACTTATTTCATGTCTAAAATTTCTATACAGAAATCCTCTAATTTTTATTATCTTTTCTCGGACGAAAATTTTCAAAGAGGAATGAATTAAAGTCTTGATTGTGCAAAACATATCTTTGAAGCTAAATGTATTCTAAGAAGAACAAAAAATTTAAACAAGATTTTGTCCCCCCCCCAAAAAAAATCAGTCATTTAAACTATCCCAACCGTTCAGGAAAACGATAAACATTGCGAACATAAAAATCTGCCCTTTTTTATATATACTTTAATAAAAGGAAATGGTGCGTTGGTGTATTTAATTATGGCAAAGCACACGAGGGCTATCTACCTAAGGGAAGGGATGCTTTCGTGGAGGTCTTTCTAAGGAAAACTGGCTCGTATACACGTTACACATGGGGAAAACGCCCATGCAGCCAGCCCGTTCGCGGGGTTCGAACCTCGGACCGAACTACCACTGTTCAGCGACTTTACCGCTCGGCCGCTGGTAGGCCAAAAGGAAATGTGTGCGTTCTTTAAGGAACCTCTTTTCCTTTCTAGGGCCCATATTTAAGTGGTAATCGTGCGTCAATGATGCCCCAAACGGCATTATCTACATCTACGGTACAAACACTCCATGTAAACACACGGCACTTGGTTCGAGAATTTCGACAAAAGCGGTCTAATGGAACGCTCGCTAAGGAACCACAGCAAGACGCTTACTGGTCGCGCGTAGGCGATCGGAGCTGGACGTAACTTAAAGTGACCGCACGTATGTGGTCAGTTGTATGATTTACCTGTTTATACTGGAACCAGCGTTGTGATTCCTCTCCTAAACATATTCAGTTCCTCTGCACATACTCACAGATCGTTTATCTTTTCTTCTGTGAATCAGGAAATGAAACCTGATGCTTTGAACAGTGGGTGTGTTCTCTGTTTAATGATAAGACATCACCCCCACATTTGTAAAATTAAAAATAATACTTAATAACTTTTGTTCATATTCTTATTATAATTGTTATTTTTAAGTTACTTATGTACAGTTATTTTTATAGTATGTTTTTGTTGTATGCTGTATATCAGGGGTTCCCAAACTTTTTCAGTTGGCAACGCACTTACAGGTCTAGTATTTGTCGGGGCACCTTAGTCGTGTTCAGCGAAGTGTTGTACAACGTTTGTACTTTACAACCTGCTTACTACATAGCGTCTTAGCAAATCACAAGACTTCATTAAATACACTGACTACCAATAAGTATTTGGACACCTGTGATAGAAAAGAAAAACTAACTTTATTCAAAATCAATAGTTGGTAGAGCCTCTAGGAGAGGTAATTACAGCGTGGACCCTCCGGGGGCATACTTTCCACAAGTCTTTGTATGACAGCTAGTGGTATTTTCTTCCACTCGGCTTGGAGAAGACATAGAAGTTCCTTCACCGATTTTGCACGGGTAGTGCACCCCTGAATTCGGCGATGCAACTCGTCCCATAGGTTCTCGATAGGGTTCAGGTCTGGACTCGGAGCAGGCCAGTCCATTCGATGAACTCCATTGGCACCATACCAAGCCTTGGTTAACGTCGAAACATGACAACTGGCATTGTCGTCCTGAAAGTAACAGGGGTCCAACCCGTAAAACTGCCACAACGTAGGAAGACATTGTCATCCAAAATAGTGCAGTAGGCATCGGAGTTGAGCTTACCATGAATGGAGACCAAGGGTCCCAGCCAATACCAGGAGAAACACCCCCAGATCATAATTCCAC